TATGAGCGCTAAATATGCTTGTTCTAACCCTGCTTAGGTCTCGACAATTGGTCATTCCTGTGAATGTGAATCCTTTTTGATACGAAATCGGCACCAGTAGAGCATTGAAATTCATAGGCAACTCTCTTAGGCCGACGCAAACGGGCAGGCCGCGCCAAGGGCTTATTCGGAGGGACTCGCCTGTGCATACGTGTTTACATGAGGTGTGGAGGTTGTTGAACGTCAAATCAAGTGTATCCAACAAGCTCCAATTTCATATGTTTAACTGGAAGACAGCGTAATTTTTGCAAAAAAATATTTGCCAGTACCACTCTGGCGGTGAATGAGGTAGTCCGAATAGAGGATCGCATTTTGGTCCTACAGATTACGTCAGAAATGTGCAGGGTGCATGTTGCCCAGCTAGCTGTCAGTGGCATTATCGAAAAATAGTACGCCACCGGGTGCACGCAATTCCCGCCGGCAATAGCCAAGATACGCGAGTTTAGCAGTCAAAAGAATGGAAACCCGGTAGTATGTCCAGCAGGGATATGGCGAGTCTATTCGAATACCGTTGCTCTCCTCTGCAAACAGTTGGAAACATTGCAAATACCAAGGCAAACTTGTTCAGGGCCGCTTTCCGGAGATTATGCTATTCGGATGGTAGGGTTTTGGGTAATCGCAGTTATTTTCGTCTATTGAGCTGGGCGTACTAGCCAAAGCTGGGAAGGTGCACCAATCCACCTGCCGCCAACTCAGAGCAAGCCAAAGAGGCAAAAGGGAGAAAGAACTATTTATTTTCTGTAACTCTACGGCAGTACCCGAACGCCAAAACGTCCACACTGGCATATCCAAATTTATGCCATCATCGTCTCAGGTAACATCGACTAGTCAATAGAAAACTCCAGGTGAAGCATGTCACAAGACAAAAGTGTTCCTGACACAGTCTAAAGAAAAGAGATCCAATTTTGGTGGATCAACCTTGTTTGAGCCCTCTATTCAATGCTGCCTACAATACTTTGGTAGTGAACGCTATTTTTGGCCACGATAATTATTCTCGATGACGAGTTAAATACGACACGTCCGCTTTATCAAACGAGTGTTAGCCCCGATAGCGGTTTCTTTCTGGATCTTGATATCTCATGTTTCCTCGACCTGTGACCGGATCAGTGAAACGGGTAGATAGGGTACACGAAAGTATACCTTTGTAGCGGATCCCTGTCTGCTCGTCAAGTCTTCCTTCCTTCGCTCGCTCCCTCTCCAATCTCTCTCGTTCCTTCCGCCGCGCCTCTATCCGTTCCTTTTCTTCCCTCTCCAACCGCAAGTCATACTCTTCCTCCGTCTCTTGGAGAAGAGGGTCAATGCCGTCACCTCCACCTCTTCCAGGAGAGTCAGAACCTGAACGATGTCGTGATGCCTTGGCCAGTTTCCGTTCTTCCTTTCGCCTTCGCTTGGCCTCTCGCTTTTCCTCTTTCCGCCTCCTCTTCCGTTCCCTTCTCTCTTCTTCGTCTTCACTAGAGGTACGACTCTCCTCGCTTCCACTCACACTCCCACTCCGACTTCGGCTCCGCTTCTCTGGGACTGATGTGGCGGCTTGTGCGGTTGTAGCCGGCGGTCCCCGAAACTCGAGTTCACCACAATTAACGAGCTCGATTTTCTTCAAGGGTACATCCTTTGCATCGGTAGGTACACCCTCGATAGCTTTGACGACCTCTATACCCCGGACGACCTTGCCAAAGACGACGTGCTTGCCGTTAAGATGTGGGCTAGGAGCGAGGGTGATGAAGAACTGGGACGAGTTGGTGTGTGGACCGCGGTTGGCCATGACGAGGAGCCCCGGGGCGTCAATGGGCTGCGAGAGATCTTCGTCCTCGAACGGACCCCCATAGATGGATTCACCGCCGGTACCATTTTTCTTGGTATAATCTAGATGAAGATATTTGGTGGTGGTAACCAGGTTTATATAAATAGCAATAAAGGGGGATGTTAGATTTTGCTTGATAGAAGGTGAAAAAGGGGAGAGAAGCGTCGAATTCGCTGAATGTGAGGGGGGAGGTTTGTGTTTAATAGGTTTGGCTCAAAATGGATATGTAGGCGTGTTCGGCGATGGACGAGAGAGTATGCCCGTCTTAATCCCTGGTATTGGGTGTACGTGTTTTGGTGCTAAACACGGCTTAATGGAAACACATGTTTGGTGGGCTTCCCTTATGAAATATGATCGCAATTCGAAAAGGATTCACATTCACAGGAATGACCAATTGTCGAGACCTAAGCAGGGTTAGAACAAGCATATTTAGCGCTCATA